GCGGGGAGATAATGAAGCACGAACTTTATTACCCGGGGGCCCAGAGGGGGTGGTTAACATCCAAATCCTCTGAGCACCGATCCTCACTCTCCCGGGGTTTAAATAGTCCCGGGCTCCCTACCTACGTGGCAAAGCAAGGTTACAGAAGCCGAATGCGGAAATTAGGTCCAGCTACCTTATATGGGAGACAAAGAGAAAACGCAGGAGGAATTTGCAGAAGCTACAGAGCACAGGAGCTTATCATGGGAGTCTGTGTACGACCTTGAGTAACTGGCCGTTGCTTTGGTTACGACTTGTCAGCTTCTACAGTCCTGTGTGAAATTTTGCAAGTGTTACAGTTACAGAGCATAAGAAACTTTTGGAGTTTTCTTTTCCTGCCACACACTTAGTAAGTTATACAAATGTCTGACCACTATGCTGTACACTCGAAACTAATTTACATTGAATGTCAACTGTAATTAAAAAACATTTTAGCCCTGGCTGGCGTAGCTCAGTGGATTGAGCTTGGGCTGTGAACCAAAGTGTTGCAGGTTCGATTCCCAGTCAGGGTACATGCATGGGTTGCAGGCCATGACCCCCAGCAACCGCACATTGATGTTTCTCTCTCTCTCTCTCTCTCTCTCTCCCTCCCTTCCCTCTCTAAAAATAAATAAATAAATAAAATCTTTTAAAAAAATTTTTTTAAAATAAATAATGTATTGCCCTGGCACAGTGGCTCCTTTGGTTGGAGCACCATCCCGTACACCAAAAGAACTGCGGGTTCGATCCCCAGTCAGGGCACTTAGGGGAGGCAATGGATTGCTGTTTCTCCCTCCCTCCCTCCCTTTCTCTCTCTTGAATCAATAAACATATCTTCAGGTGAGGATTAAAAGTAATAACAAGAGTATTGATTTTTAAAAGTGGAATAATGAAACTCTTGGGTTTAAAAACTGTACTGGGAGAGGGAGTCACGATGTATTAGCATTTCTACTCTCAAGTTCTACCCTCACGCGCCCAAGTGACTGCGTGGCGGGAAACGTCAGGCTTCAAGCCCTGCTGGAGCTCAACTCTCACCCTGTCCGTTTCTCTCACTCTTCTGCCTGTCGGTACGAAACACGGTGAACATGACACACGGCCTTCTCAAGGCGCTGAAGCAGCGCCGGCGCCCACGGCGGCAGTATCCGCCAAGCTGGGTCGGTCCTTACGGAACCCGTTTCCAGCCACTTGGCAGACACGCGCCGCGCTCCAGGCCCTGTGCTCGGCGTCGTGGGCGTCCCCTCGTTCGGGTATGGAGCTCGAGGTCACGCAGCACGTACGGGTCAGAGTCGGGACCTGAAGTCAAGTTCGTCACCCGCTCTCGTAACCCCAGTGTGCTCGCACTTCGTCCACGTGAACCAGATGGGCGGAAACGCTAGTTATTGGATCGTGGCGGGTGCGGCCACTCAGCCCCACTCGGGAACTGGGGTCAGGAATGGAAAGATTCCTGTTTGAAGAGTGTGCCTGTGTCCCCAGCACTGACCACCCCCCAAGCCTGAGTGCCCCGGGGACCTCAGATGAAGGAACCAGGGAACCTCTGGGAGACGGCTCTGGAGGCCGCAGAGCGCCCGCCTGGAAAACCGCTCTGTCCACCCTGCGGCCGCCGGGCTCTGCCAGTGCCCACTCTGTCTATCACGGCCTCGCAAGTGCCCTCGGATGTAGCCGCTTAAAACGACATTATTGTCTCCGTTTCTGAGTCAAGTCTGAGAGGCACTTGGCTGGGTGGTTGCTGCATAGGGTCTCCACTTTAAATATAGTTGTTGTTGTTGTTAAGATTTTATTTATTTACTTTTAGAGAAGGGGAAGGGAGGAAGAAAGAGAGGGAGAGAAACATCAGTGTGTGGTTGCCTCTCACACGCCCCCTACTGGGAACTTGGCCTGCGACCCAGGCATGTGCCCTAGACTGGGAATCGAACCTGTGACCCTTTGGTTCTCAGGCCAGTGCTCAATCCACTGCGCCACACCAGCCAGGACTAGGTTTTATGTATCATTAGGTGTAACAGGCCAACAGATCAGGAGGCAACTGCAGTTGAGAAGATAGATTATTGCTCACAGATCCCAAGAGAAGAGGCACACCACGCCACAGGGTCCACTCCGGGGAGCCGCAGGGGCCGGGAGGCTGGGGGAGGGAGGGGTTGTGGTGGGGGGGGAGCCTTGACTGTGGGGAAGGGGAGGAGCGGGCAGGGCAGGGTAAGCAGGCTGAGGAATGCTGAGTTCAGACGATTTCAGCGGGCTCCGGGGCCCAGGGACTGCCCCTGGCCTTGGGCGGAGGGAGGGGGTGGAGCCAGGGAAGGGGGATAGTGGCCCAAGCGGCTGGAGCCCACTAACGGCGGTAGTTGGGGGCGCGGGCTCTGCATCTGTCCGTTTGTGTCGGAAAGGCAAGCTGTTCACCATCTCAGGAACTAGCTAACCCCAGCGGGGGCCGCCATCCGGAGTCAGCAGAGTCCCGTGCGCTAAAGCACCAGCACACAGAAAAATAACAGACGCGGTCGATACAGTCTCCCATGAGGCTGCAGGCAGGACGGTGGCTGGGGCTGCACCCGTCGCTGGCTCCTCGGGGATGAGGATTCCCTCTCGAGTTTGCCTGCCAGCCGGTGACTTCATGCTGGAGGCTGGCAGGAGGCCTCCGTCCCTCGCCACCTGCACCTCCCTCGGCACAGGGCGGCTCCGGCATCCCCGAGGTGTGGCGGCTGGTTTTCCCCAAGTATGTGACCCAGGAGAGGGAGCGAGGAGCCAGCCTCAGGCCCTTTTAGGACCTAGTCTCAGACGCCGCGCCCCGTCCTCTCCGCCGCACCGATGAGTTGGCGGCCAGTCACTACGTCCGGGTAGGGGATTAGGTTCCAGGTGTGGAGGTGGAAGTTGTCAAAGGGCTTGGGAACGTATTTTGAAACTATCGCAGCCTCTTTCTGCTGAAGTCACGGAAACTCAGCTCCGAAAAGCCTTCATTTACGGGCTCGCAGGGACGAGCCAGGGGAAGGGCGGAGTAGAGCCGGCTTCTCATGGACCTAAACGCACGTGCCCCTGTTCTCGGGCCCCACCCTCTCAGCCACGGCCACCCCTGCGGCCCGTCTGAGTGCACGTCCTCCCAGCCTCTAGCAGAAACGGGAGCTGCTATCTCCAGGGCGCTCCTGGCACCGAGCCTGCTGCTGCCACCTGGGCCGGGCCGGGCAGGACTCGCTGCGCCAGCTGCACTGGCGGGCACACCCCTTGGGCCAAGCGCCACGCCTGGGGCAGGGGTCCCTGTGCATCGGCGGCGCCTGGTGCGCTCGGTCCTGCGTGTCTGGAGGGTGGGGGCTGGTGGCCGGGTGGGAGCCGAGTGGCCACCCCAGGCTGCAACCCTGCCTGGCCGGGATTCATGAGCCAATGTCGCAGCGGCCTTATTTTTGGAATAAGAGGAAAAAACAACCACTTCAAACTCTCAGAACGGTCCCTTTCCGCAGGCGTGGCCTAACCCGCAGGTCCATCCGGAGACTTCAGTGCACGAAGCCCCGGCCACCCCTTCCCCTGGTTGGCACGCTTCAGAGCCAGAAGCCCGGCCTGGACGCAGCACACTGAGGGGGCGGGGGGTGGCCACAGGTCCTCACTTCGTCTTCTCCCCTGGGTGCCGTTCTTAGGGACGAGGCTCATGAAAATACGTTGAAGGGGCTGCAAACGAAACTCACGCCCACAGGACCCTCGGCCTTTATCTTGAACTTGTACCATCCGGAGACACAAAGGCTGCCCCGCACCTGGTCCCAGGTCTTCCGACCGGTGGTCTGGAGCCCAAGTGTGCATTCAGTTCACTGCCAAGGACACCTCCCAGATGAGCACTCGGCGGTTCTTGGGGGAAACCATCTCCCAGGTCCAGTAAGAGCAGCCTCAGCAGGACCGGTCCCCCTCACTGCGTCCTTGGCATTTGCAGAGCCGGGGAGAGCGGGGTAGGGGTGGGGCGCGACCTGTGCTGTTTTTTTTTTTGCTTCTGACGCTCCCCGTGGCTTCGAGCTGCCTTCAGTCAGGATATTTAGCATTTCACTAACGTTTTAAATAACCACTTCGGGACTACTTCGCTTGCCCAGAGCGTGTTTGAGAGCATTTTTCTGGGGCTATTTGGGAAAGAAACCAGGTGTGGTCGTCAAGGTGGGAATTCCAGCGCTGACCGCAGTTCCTCCATCTGTGGAATGCGGTCTGAAGAACTTGCCCCATGTCTGGTGCGCGGGAGCTGCCTGGTAAACAGTGTGGCACTTTGTGACTGGCCGGGATGCCGGGCGCGGGAACGGGCTCACAGAGGGCCGGCCACTTGTCCGAGGCTGCACAGCTCGGGGAGGACAGACAGGGGTCCTGCTCTCCAGTCCCAGGATCCAGGAAGAGGGCCCTCCAGCAGCTCCCAACGGAGCCTTGGGGCTGGGAGTGGGGGGAGGCAGCTACAGCCTTTTAGGACAGCGAGGTGGGCTGGGAGTGGGCCGTCGGCAGGGCACTCCCGCCGGGGCTGACAGCGGCTCCCTGAAGCGGAGGGAGACCCTTGACCCTCCACGCGGGAGGCTCACCCGGGCTCCCAATCCGCCTTCAGCCACACCCTTACTCCTGCCTGCCACCTGCCACACAGCCTGGGATGACCGTGGTGACACATGAGATGCGCATGTGAAACACCCAAGTGTGCGTGTCACTCGCTCCCAAGTGTGCATGCATGCACAGCATCTGCGTGTGCTCCCAGAACACAGAACCCATCACACGAGGGTGGGGGCTGTCTGTTCTGTTCACGGTGCCCCCCGTTGCAGTAACCGTCAGCAACTCCCTCCTGCAGGAAGTCCTCTGGGTGCATCCTTGAAGTGTGGTGTCTCATCTTCCCCTCTGGACTCAGAACTCCTGTGTCTCCTCATAGCCTGGGGCCCAATGCTGTTCAAGGCCCAGCTGCCCAGCTGCCCTGCCCTCCCCGCCCCCAACGCAACCTGGGAAGGAGCAGAGGGTTCCCCTGTGCCCACCCGGACCCTCACTGACCACAGCACAGCTTCCCTCTCCCGGCATTTATTGCTTTCCAAGAGCAGCCCCTCTCCCGAGGGTGCGACGCAGGCTCATGTCGTCTTTCGGGTTCCAAAGACGGGGCGGTTCACGTGCTCGGGGGAGTCCAGGAAGGCCTTGAGCTTGGGCCGGGCGCTGAGGCGAGCCACGTAGGCCGAGAGCAGGGGCAGGGAGTCCAGGCAGCCGGGGGCCAGGACCTGGTGGTTCAGCAGCAAGTCCAGCAGGTTGTAGTCGGCGAAGGAGATCTGTGGGGCGGGAGTCCGGGGTCTTGAGCAGGGTCAGAGGAGACGGGTGCTGGGGCCAGAGCTGCACCTGTCTGCTTTAGGGAACCAGTCACAGACAGCCCTGCTCTGGGCCTCCGTTTGCCCGCCTGGGAAATGGACCCGCCACGGGCTGGACCCAGCGCTCACCTGGTCACCCACGATGAAGGCCTGGCCGCCCCGGTTCTGGGAGAGCAGGGTCTCGAAAGGCTTCAGGCGCCCCGGCAGCTCCTCGATGTACTGGGCCTTGCTCTCCTCCTGCAACCAGGACGGATCCCAGGGACAGCATGCCGCGGGCCTGGCCGGGCGACCGCCCCCGGCCCTGAGCGCCCGCCGAGGCCCGGCCCGCACTCACGTAGCTGTGGTGGATGAGGTGGCTGCAGAGACTGCGCAGGTCCTCCACCCCGTCGTTCACCATGTCCACCAGCGCCGCCTCCCGCTGGTCTTTGCCGTAGAGCCCTGGTTGGGGGCGGCCTGAGCTGCGCTGCCCCCTGCCCAGGCGGACTGGCCACCCCGACCCCCTCACCCAGAGCCTTCCCAGCTCTGGCCCTGCCCCCTCCCTCAAGGGCACCCGGCCAGCCCTGCGGCTGGGCAGGACTCTGGTGGCTGCAGGTGCAGCAGCTCTGGCCCCGGAATATCCTGCCGGGACCTGTCGGGTACTTCCCAGACCTCTGGACTCACCGAGGGAGCGGCCCAGGTGGCGCAGGATGGCGTTGGACTGGTACAGGGTCAGGTCTCCGTCCTGGAACTTGGGGAGCTGCCCGTACAGCTGGGGGGAGGGCATGGCTCTGTGAGGGACCCTGAGCTCAGCTGTCCCCCTCCTTAGTTTGCCCCCCAGGGCCCAGCCCCGGCCCCCGACGGGCACGGGCACTCACACAGGAGGCCTTGAGGGAGCCCTGCATCCAGGTGTCCTTGGTGACCACCTCCTCCTTCCAGCTCTGGCCCTGGTCGGCCAGCAGCATGCGCATGGCCTCGCAGCGCCCTGGGGGGTACAGGGGACAGGGAGACAGGAGTGTGCCAAGGGGACAGAGGAACAGGACAGAAACCCTGACCTGGCAGCCCTCTGGGAGAGGATGGACCTCAGGGGAAGAATGGAGGCCGTGGCCCTGACCGTGTCTCTGAGAGGCTACACCCAGCCCCAAGCGCCCCGGGGGAGACAGAGGAAGAGTGGCAACAGCCCCGTGCTGGCCCCGCCCCCTCCATCCCGCTGCGGGCCCTGGCCCCGGTCCAGGGCTCAGCCTCAGCGTCTGGCCTGCGCCCGGCCTGAACCGATCGTCCTCCAGAAGGAACAGGTGCGGCACCTCGGACGGGGAAGTAGACGATGGTGTAGGGTGGCACTAGAGGAGACAGACAGACAGAGCGCGCGGTGAAGGCCTGCCCCTGGGGCTGCGGCCTGGGAGTCAGGCTTCCTGGAGGGAGGGCGGCTCGGCCAGGGCCCACCCCCTCCGCCGCCGCCGCCGCCGCCGCCGCCGCAGCAGCAGCGGTCCAGACCCTACTTACTGGCTGGCGGTGAAGGGCAGGCCTGCAGGAAGTGGAGAGGAGCCCAGAGGGCTCGTATTTATGGTTCTGCTCCACCCCTCCCGCCCTCCCTGCCTCACCCCTGGAATGCGCTAAGTCACTCAGCTCCTTCCCAGGCAAAACGCTGGGTGTGGTGGGGGCAGGGCCGGGCAGGCCTACCTGCGGGTCTGCAGGGCTGTTCCCTGCCTGCAGGCCGGCGGCTGAGCGAAGGGTACATCCGTGCACACCCAAGCCTACGTGACTCCTCAGGGCCCCGCAGAGGGCCGGGGCTGAGCACCCTGCGTGCTGCTGGGTTCCCAGCACCAGCACACAGTAGGTGCTCAACAAATGCAATGTCAATAGACTTACCTAAAAAGACAAAAAGCCCCCGTCAGGCCCTCTTTCCCAGAGCCAGCTCTCCTTTTCTCGGCCCTGCCAGCCACAATCAGCTGCTGTTTTCTGAGATTAATAGGGATGATCAGGGCTGGAAAATTGCCGAAAGTATCCTGGAGGCACCAATGTGCCGAAAATTGCCAAACAGGACGTGTGAGGCCACGAGGACCGGACCCTGCACCTCAGGATGCCATCAAAGCAAACTGGAGCCCCCGCAACACGGACCAGAGCGCCCGCCCGCGGCGGCCCTCCCTGCCCAGCGCCGCCCCGCGCCCGCCGGCCGCGGCCGACGGAAGCTCCCGGCCCAGCCGCGCCGGCAGGGGTGCTCTCGGCCACTTTCCTTCCTTTCTCTTTCTCTTTGCCTTTTTGGGAAGCCCAGAAACCTTTATTTTTTACTATTATTTTTAAATATATTTTATTGATTATGCTGTTACAGTTGTCCCATTTCCCCCCTTTATTCCCCTCTGCCCTGCACACCCCCTCCCACCCGAACTCCCCCCTCCCCCACCACCTCAGTTCATGTCCGGGGGTCGTACGTGTAAGTTCTTTGGCTTCTCCGTTTCCTACACTGTTCTTACCTCCCCCCTGTCTATTTTGTTCCTACCAATTATGTTTCTTATTTCCAGTACTTTCCCCCCCTTTTTCCTCCCCCTTCTCACTCCCCCGCTGATGACCCTCCATGTGTCTCCATTTCTGTGGTTCTGTTCCTGGTCTAGTTGTTTGCTTCTTCTTCTTCTTTTATTTTTTTTTTTAGGTTTGGTTGTTGAAAGTTGTGAGCTTGTTGTCATTTTGCTATTCATATTTTTTTACCTTCTTTCTGTTCGATAAATCCCTTTAACATTTCATATAATAAGGGGTTGGTGATGATGAACTCCTTTAATGTTACCTTATCTGGGAAACACTTTATCTGCCCTCCCATTCTAAATGATGAAAGCTTTGCTGGTTAGAGTCATCTTGGATGTAGGTCCTTGCCTTTTATGACCTGGAATACTTCTTTCCGGCCCCTTCTTGCCTGCAGGGTTTCTTTTGAGAAATCAGCTGAAGGCTTTATGGGCACTCCTTTGTAGTAACTGTCTCCTTTTCTCTTGCTGCTTTTAAGATTCTCTCCTTATCTTTAATCTTAGACAATTTAATTATGATGGTGTGTGTTTCCTTGAGTCCAACTTTTTTGGGACTCTCTGAGCTTCCCAGACTTCCTGGAAGTCTATGTCCTTTGCCAGATTAGGGAAGTTCTCCATTTTTTTTCCCAAATAAGTTTTCAATGTCTTGGTCTTCCTCTTCTCCTTCTGGCACCCCTATGATTCTGATTTTGGAACATTTAGAGTAGTTCTGGAGGTTCCTAGGCCTCTCCTCACTTTTTTTGAATTCTTGTTTCTTCAGTCTGTTCTAGTTGAACGTTTATGTCTTCCTTCTGGTCCAAACCGTTGATTTGAGTCCCAGTTTCCTTTCTGTCATTGTTGGTTCCCTGTACATTTTCCTTTATTTCACTTTTTATAGCCTCCACCTTTTCCTCTACTTTGCAACCATACTCAACCATTTCTGTGAGCAACCTGATTAACAGTGTTCTGAACTCTGCATCTGATCGGTTGGCTATCTCTTCATTGCTTAGTTGTATTTTTTTCTGGAGCTTTGAACTGTTCTTTCATTTGGGCCAATTTTTTTTTTTTTTTTTTAATCTCAGCGCACCTGTTAAGTAGTAAGGGGCGGAGCCTTAGGTGGTCACCAGGGCAGGGCAACCCACATCGCCGTGCTGTGACGCTGTATGTGGGGGAGGGTCCGGGAGGGAACAGTGCACTTGCTCCACTCTCTGCCAGCTTTCAGTCACTTCCTCCGCTGCCCACAAGCAAGCTGGGCCCTTCCGGTGCTGATTCCCCGGTGAGTGGTTTTGTGTACGTTCTAGGGCCCTGTGGGTCTCTGCAGCGCACTCTCTCGTGAGGCCGGGAGTTTCTTCTGCTACTGTCACCCCCGCAGGTATTTTCAGTCAGAGGTTTTGAGGCTCTATTTCCCCGCTGGGGCCCTGGGTTTCACGGTCCGTCTCCCTCCCCACTTGTTCTTCCCGGATCATGCGCGCAGGACTGTGGGACCGCCCGCTCCGCCGGCCGCCACGTGGGCCCCTTTCTGCTCTTGGAAAGTGAGGACTTGGCTCTCCGCGGTTCTGCTCCTCGTGCATCCCTTCACAGCCCATGGCACCGGCCACCCCGACGTCACACGTTCACCCCTCCTCTGTCCACGGTAATAGTAATAATAGCGAACTCTCCGGGGCTGAGGACTGTGTTGAGAAATCCCCAAGTGTGACAGCCCTGAGCTTGGTACGGTTCTGATTTCTGTGTGACAGAGGATGCAACTGAAACAGAAAGCCAAGTGACTTTCCCAAGGTCACGCAACTAGCAAACAGGATTTGAACCGAGGTCTGGCTTCAGGGGCCTCGCTTTTAACCCTCTTTCTTCTGCGGGGTCTGTCACTTCCAGGCCAATGTCTGAAGGGCGCCCTGCGTTCTTCAGGCACAGGCTGGCCTTGGGGATGTGGGCGGCTGGAAAGACAGACAGGCTGGAACTGAGACAGGGTAGTGAGACGCTAAGAAAATTCCCTGGCCAGCGGACTAGGAAAACAGACAGAGAGCTGAACAAGCTGGCCGAGCAATTGACAGCCAGGCGCAGATGGGCACCAGGGCAGAAGGCCTGGCCGGGGGCAAAACTGGGAAAACTGGGGGCAGGATCTTGCCCCCAGGGTACCCTCTCCTCCCCTGGCCTCTCCTCCCTGGAGACGCCATCCGGGCCTCAGGGGTGTTTCAGCTCCAGGCCCAGAAACGCAGCAAGACCAGGTGGGCGGTGCCGGAACCAACAGCAATGACTAGCGACCCCCTGTCTTGGCGCTGACCAATCAGGGGAGACCAGGACCCTGCAAGGGCACACCTGGAGTGCTGATGAATGTTCTGCTGAGACCCTCCCCTGAGACCCGCCCTGAGATCTCCTCCTGCGAGAGAGATACAAACTCCAGACAGAGGACCCAGCGCGCATGTGCGTGTGTGTGTGTGTGTGCGCGTGTGCGCTCTCCCTCTGGGGGGCAGCCAGCACCGTGTCCTTTCCTGTCCTCCCCCCAAGCCCCCCTTCTTTCTCCTCCTAAACTGTAAGGCAACAGGCAGCTGGCAGCTTGTTCCAGGCCGATCCCCCGAACCTGTCCCCAAAGACCCCTTTCCTCTGATGTCCCCGTGGGCTCAGGCAGCCCAGCCTGGGCTCCCCCATTGCCTCCTCTATGCAAAGCTCTTCCTCGTTTCACTGTCCCCAGCTTTAATAAATGTACCCTCGTAGTGGCCTGAACTCGTGTTGTGAAATCTTCCCTGCACGAAATCCAGAGCCCACACACTGCAGCTGGGCCTGGGCAGCCTGCTCAGGGCCAGGCGCCTGCCGGGTGACACAATGAACAGGACTCCCCGAAGCAGCACAGGCACTTGGGGAAACCACCAGGAGGCCAGGTGGAGGCCGGGTGAAGAGCCGGTGGCCAGAAGGAACACTGGGTAAGCCGACTGCAAAAATGTCACCACCTCTCTGTTCTCTGCTTAAAAACGCAGAGGCGGCTGATCTGCTCTCCCTTCTAGCTGCTTGGTTCCTCACACTTGTCGAAACTACTGACCCTCGTGAGCAGCTGGTCAAGGTCTGACAGCTATCTGACCTTCCCCATGTGGCCCTAGCGCAGGATGCCGCCATCTTGCCCCCACACCGAAGGTGCGACCGCCATTACCAGGCCACGCAGCCACAAAAAGAAGTCTCGAGACTCTGAAATGGAAAACGTATCAAAAAGCCTGCCTTTTCCCGTAAGCCCGCGTGGTCTCCAGCTTGCAAAAGCGGTCAAGCAGAGTCAGCCCCGCGTCGGTACGGAGGACCTTCCCTCCCCCTGGGCTCCCTCCCTGTGCTCGAGCATGAGTTTAATAAAGTCTGTCTGGAAGTTCCCCTGGGGTTTGCTCTCCATTTCTACCTCAGGGAGCCCAAGAACCCCAATGCCAGTAACACCCCTGGACCTGGGGGCTGCGTCCTCCCAGGCAGAGCCCAGGGCCTGCCGCCCTGCAGGCCCCTCTGGCGCCCAGGGCCGTGTTCTCCCAGCTGTCCCTGCTCGAGGCGGGGGTGTGGGTAAGGTTCTCAGTGGGTGGGGAGGTCTTCCTTGGGAACCGGGGCCTGACAGAGCTCCCTCTAGGCCCGGTTTTCCTGTCAGAGCCACAAGGAGGAAAAGGCATCCGTCCTAGGGGCATCAGGACCCACCCAAAGCACGGGAAATCAAGCCACCCTGTCTGATCACCAGCATCTCTTAGCCCCAGGGGAGCTCAAGGCTGCCTGGGGCTGGGAGGCCGTGTGAGCGGGGGTGCCGGGGCTGACTTCTCTCCTGGATCCACAGCTGAAGGAACATCTGCCCAGCACTTAGCAGCTTAGGCAGAGCTTTCATATAAATGGTCTCATTCCATTTCCCCAGCACCCTGGGAGGGAGGGAGGGAGTCTCCGCCCCACTCTACAGAGGAGGACCCCAAGGCTCAGAGAGGGTCATTCACCTGCTCTGGCCTGGAGCACGCCCTCCCTCCCCCCATGCGCAGGCATCTCGGACCCGAGAGAATGTGAGGCCCCCTGCCGTCTGCTGCACCGCCCTCCTGGGGCTCGCCTTCTCCCACCACCGTGTCCAGGTCCCCTGGAAGGGCTGCCACCCAGGCTGACTAGGTCCTGCGCTGCAGTGGCTTCATTTTCCCGCAGTCCCCTGGCTCCATGGGCCCAGCCTGTGGTCCAGCTCTGCGGCCACCCTGGGGCCTCCTGCTCTGGGGCCCAGGTGCACAGCGTTCCCAGCCCAACTGGCCCCAACTGGCCGGGCACCTCCCAGTGTCCCATCCCCCCTCCTAGTTCTTGTGTACATCAGCACCTGTCTTTGGGGGGATTTTAAATATACAGAAATAAGCAGCCTTATTGCTACATAAAATGCCCCCTTACAAAGTGTGCGTTCTGTAGTTTTTATTACATTTAGTGGTGTGCATCCATCACCACCATCCAGGCCCAAAAGGAAACCCCCTGCCCGTCAGCGGTCATCCCTCCCCCCCCTCCCCCATCCCCGGGCGACCAGGGCTTGCTATGGATTTGTTTATTCTGGGCATTTCATGTACGTGGCATCACGCGCCGTGTGGTCTCCTGTGCCTGCGGCTTTCACTTCGCGTAATGGTTTCCAGGCTCATCCGCATGGGGGCGCGCGCCAGTGCTTCGTTCCTTTCTGTGGCCGAACCACATGCCGCTGTGCGGAAACGCACGTGTCCCTGACCCGCTCCTGCCGTGGTAGACGTTTGGGTTGCCTCGCCTTTTAGCTCTTATGAATCACGCTGTGTGTACATCAGCGTACACATGTTGTGCGAACGCACGTTTCGGCTCCCTTGGGAATGCACCTGGGGGTGGAGTCTCTGGGTCACATGGGAACTCCTTTGGGGGAGCTGCCGGACTGCTCTGAAGGAGTGACGCTATGTTACAAACTCAAGAGCAGCATGCGGAGGTTCCGGCCTCACGTCCTCACCAACGAGCGTTACTGTCTGTCTTTTTTACTCTAGCTGTCCCGGGCAGTGTGAAGTGGTATCTCGACACGGCTCCGTGTGTGTGCTTACCAGGTGCCAAGCCTGGGGGTGGCTTGTGGGGAACAGGGCGGAGGGGGAGCCGTTATCACTGCCCTCGGAGGGATCGCAGCTCGGGGGGTGGGTAGGCAGAGACCCAAGTCTTCGTTCCCGCATTGACTGCTATATACCAGGCGATGCGTGGGCCAGACATCATGGCAGACACCGGAATAGGTGAGATCTTCTTACCCATCTCCACCCTAAGGGACTGTGTGTGTGTGTGTGTGTGTGTGTGTGTGTGTGTGTAAGGAAATAGGGTTCCTAGTCTGAGGGAGCTTGGAGCATTCCTACTCTGAACCCTTTTCTGTTGCAAGACATAGACCCTCCCTTGCTTCCCAAAAGCTTACAAACCAAAGCCACACCCGGAAGTTCCTCGTTATTGCTTATCTGTCCTTTGAAGCTTAAGCTGGCCCTGCAAACAGGTCTCCATCCTCCCTGGGATTTCTTTCTTTTTTGGGGGGTATATTTCAAAGCAGTATATACTGCTTTGAAAGGTTTGCAATCAATATACAATGTATTTTTTAATTATTTATTTGTATATATATATATTTTTTAGAGAGGGAAGGGAAGGAGAGAGAGAGAGAGAGAGAGACATCAATGTGTGGTTGCTGGGGGCCGTGGCCTGCAACCTAGCAATGTGCCCTGACTGGGAATCGAACCTGCGATACTTTGGTTCGCAGCCGCGCTCAATCCACTGAACCACGCCAGCCAGGGCCCTCTCTGGGATTTCTACTTGCGGGTTCTGGAGTCACCATCATCCTGCAGCAGCTTTCTCTCTCGAGGCCTGGGGAGCGCGGCCAGGTCACTCCAGGTCACTCGTGCAGGGGAAGCCCCGTCCCTGAGGCACTTCGCGCTCCTGCCCCCACACGCTCCCCTCGTGGCGAGAGAGGGGAAGCCGAGCAGGACCCGTGTGTGGTGCCGCGCTGGGTCCCGGCGAACCAGAGGCTGGAGCCAATCAAGGCACGAATCCCCGCATCCCAGTGGACTCTCTTAACAGAGAATATAAGACCTTCGCTCACCGTCCATCTGTCTCTCTGTCCATCTATATACCTGTCCAAACATCCATCCATCCAACAACCAAACATCTGACCATCAAAACACCCGCCTATCCATTTATCCGTCCATTCACGCAGTCACCCGATCAATAAATCCATTATCCACTCCTCTTTTCACTCGCTCACCTATCCACCTGTCCACTCACCCACGCAGCCGTCTGTCTGTGCAATCATGCATCCATCCATCTCCCAAACGTTTAATCACTAGCCTGTCTAACAATCCTGCCATGAAGTCAGCCACCCACCTGCTCACCTGTCCACCCATTCACCCATCCATCTCCCCATCCACCCACCCACCTCTCCATTCGCCTGTTCGTCCATCCAACCCCCTGTCCGTCCATCTAACCCCATGTCCATCCTTCCATCCACCTACTCAATCATTCGTCTTTCCAACTACCACCCATTGAAACACCAGTCTGACGAGTCATCCATCTGTCCACCCACCCATCTATCTGAACATCCATCCACCCACCAGCATGTCAATCGCTGATCCTGCTGGACACTCCGGACACCGGAGCCGGGACCTCAGTTCAGCTCAGTCAAAACGGGCAAATCACAGGCACCAAAATGAATGTCCTGAGGTGCCGTTCATTGAACACAAGCCAGGGGAAACTTCCAAGCACGCTTTTCTTCATCTAGTTGCAAAGGCTTTGCTTCTTGGTTGAAAATGTTTCCACCCACTATACCCTGCCCAGTTAGGGCCTCCAGTACTCTGGCTTATACTCTGGGACACCCGTTTCTCACGACTTCTCACTGTCTTAGGCGGCTGTTTGGACAGGAAGTCATTTATTGCATCCACCATTTTTAAAAAGATTTTATTTATTTTTAGAGAGGGAAGGGAGGGAGAAAGAGAGAGAGAGAGAAACATCACTGTGTGGTTGCTGGGGGCCGTGGCCTGCAACCCAGGCATGTACCCTGACTGGGAATCGAACCTGCGACACTTTGGTTCGCACCCCGAGCTCAATCCATTCAGCTACGCCAGCCAGGGACATCCACCATTTTTTTGAGCCTTACCCTTATGCCAGGAACCCGCAAGATCCTTTACCATTTAACTTTCACAAAGTACCATGAGGCAGATAGGAGGTCAACCCCCATTTTCTGGAAACTGAGGCTCGGAGAAGTGAAATACCTTGCCTGGGGGGACCCAGGCCTGGAGCCGCCTTCTACGACCTTGCAGAAAATGGGGGAGCCCCCACCTCTGAGGGGTGTTTGCAGTGCACCCCCAGCCTGTGGGTAGAGGTGTGCCCCGGGGTGCCGAGTGCTGAAGGGTGCCCGGGCAGAGCCTGCAAATGAATGGTCAGCAGGAATGGTCATAATGAGCCCTTGCCACCCTTGACCATCTGGCCAGAGTCCACTCTCCTGTGAACCCTGGCCTTTTCTCACGTCCTCAGACCTGCTCGGGCTGTGTGGCCACGGCTCCCTTCACTCGGTCACGCCCACCGCCCCTCTGGTCTTGGCTCACGGGTCACTTCCATGGCTTCCACAGGCTCACGGTCGCAGCAGAGTCCCCACTCTCCGCCCTCTGGGCAGCCCTTGGGCCCTCCCCTGCACGTAGCCCCACCACAGCCATTCTGTGTTTGCTGGACATGCACCTCCCGCCAGGTGGAAGGTTCCAGGTGGCAGGGACTGGCTCCAGCACCCCGGAGGGCCCACAGCAGGTGCTCCATGAATGTTTATTTGCTCAAGCCTCAGCCCCTCTGAAATTCTCCCAGCCTCTCACCACCCATGCCCTCCCCAGGGGCTACTGACCCCTGCCCCTTTCCACCCAACACCTCCTGTCGATTTCAGCATCTGGGACACTCCAAGTTCACAGCTGATCTCTACCGGGGACCCCCACACTGGCCCGGGACCAAGCCCAGGTTACATGTGGGTGGGCAATGGCAAGAATGCTCCCCCTTCCCCTCTCTTCTCCATGAAGCCCCCTGATGCCTGCCTCATGCCCCGAGCACCTGGGGACGGTCCACTGGCCCTTCTCCGAGTGACAGGTGCCGGAGGGCAGGGCCCTCGGGCAGACGAGGTCTGCCGCGCGGCCGCGGCAGCCGGCCTCGGACACCCGCAGAAGGCATCTGTGAATGGACGGACGGCTGCAGGGCCGCGAGGGGCCAGAGCCCGTGGCTCGGGTGGCAGGATCCGGTTCCCTCGGACAAAAGCTGGTGCAGGGGCAGGTGAATAAATCATGAAGGACCTGGAGCAGGGGTGGGCGGGACAGCTGACCTCATTCTGGGAGGTGAGGAGCAGGCGGCCGGGTGGTGAGTGGTCTGGGGGCGCAACGAGGGGGCACAAGAGGCCAGCGGGGCTGCCTGGGTCCTTTTCCTTGAGAAGCGGGAGGTTGGAGGTGCTGGCGGGAGGGGGAGGTCTGGGGGAAGGTTGGGGGGCTTGTCTGTCCACAGTCCAGGAGCCATCCTGGGCACGGACAGACAGGAAGACAGGCCCGTGTGAGAAAGAGCCCCACGCAGCAGCGGGTGGGAAGTGACAGAGAAGGCCCGAGTGGGCGCCTGTCAGCGGGGGCTGGGGTGGGGAGGGGGCTGCCGGTGAGACAGACACACAGACACACCGCGAGTGGGGCGGACAGCAGGACAGAAGCGGAGAGGGAGGGAGTGCGGGCAGAGTCCGAAGCCCAGAGCCAGAGAGTCGGGTTGGCCAGGGTCAGCACAGCCGGCCCCGTGGGGTCCCTGTGCCGTGTGTGGCTCGCAGGAAGGGTGTGGGGGGCAGGGGGCAGGGAAGGCTGGGATTTGGGGAGGTGCCATGTGAGCAGCATGGGGAACTGGGAAAGATGGCCCCTCGGGGGCCTGGGGCCCGTGGGGCGAGCAACAGGGAGGGGAGAAGCTGGGACCCTAGGGGGACCACACCCACAGCTGCCCACTCGGCGACCCTCCTGCAGGACCAAGGAGACCGGAGTGGGGCGGTGACCCCGGCCAACAAGAGGTGCCAAGCCCTCGTCTCCATGGCCCTTCCCCAGGGCCCGGAAGGTGACAGCCCCCCCACGGGGGACCCCAAGCCCTCTGAGGGCCCTGCGGGGCCCAGCCGCGCCACCCCGGTCAGCCCGGCAGTCGCCAGGCGGCGGCTGCTCCTGCAGGAGCTCGAGGCCCAGGTGCAGGCGGCCTACGGGCAGGTAACGTGGGCAGGAGCGTGGGACCGCCCTCACCTGGGGGGACCGTAAGCAAACAGAGGGGACCCCATGCCCCAGCTGGGGTCCTTTAGGCCAGACCAGGGCCGAGCCCGGGCAGGAGAAGGCCTGGACACCCATGTGGATGGAGGGGCCAGCCACTCAGTCAGCCGCTCGTGAGGGTGGCCGGCTTCTCTCCCCACCCCCGTCCTCGCTGAGTCCCGCAGCCAGCCCGCGGCCCCAGAGCAGGGGGCCGGCCCAGGAGGAGGGGCCAAGGGCAGGACCTCTGGGCAGGTGCTCCGAGGTGAGAGCCAGGGTCCTGGCGGGAAAGGGGCAGGGGCTTCCCGGGCTGGGCAGAGGTGGTCAGCTCTCCCGGGGCAGGCAGGGAGGGGAGGCTCTGCAGAGGCCGCGCCGCCCTGGTCTCATCTGCCACTCGGACGGAGAGGTGTCGCGGACCGCCCTGGCACGCCAGGCACCTGGCTTCCCCTCCCAGGCCCGGCCCTGCCGCAGAAGAAACTGAATCTCTTCTGATGGGGAGATTAGGGGCAGGGGCTGCGGGAGAAGGGCTATCTGGAAGACTCTCAGGGGTGAACGTGGGGAGACGGGGCTTCCAGGGGGCCTTGGGCCCCGAGTGGCCCCCCTCACCAGCAGCAATTCTCAGAGATAATCCCAGATTAGGACCCAAGCCCCTGGGCCCAGGGCCCTCCGCCTGCCCACCCGCCCCTGATCTTCCCCACAAAACCCTCGGAAAATCCCCTGCCTTGCGCCCAGACTCGCCGGGAGCAGCTGGGGGCTGGTGGCCACCCTCGGCATCTGTGGAGGCCCAGCCCCGGGCTGCCCCCGGGGCTCCAGGCCTGGCATGGTTTGGGGGCCCATGGGCAACTGTGCCAAGCGGCCCCAACCCCGGAGGCCTAAGGTAGGGGGGCTAAAGGGGAGAGGCTGAGGCCAGGAGCTGGGGCTGGACCCTGGAAGGGTCAGGTGGGGGGCAGGACCCTGTGTGAGGCCTGGGCAGGGGTTAGAGGAGGGCACATCCGGGGGATGAAGGGGTTGGCTCCTTCCCGCTGGGCCTCCCCTGACGAGCTCAGCTGGCCCCCAGCTGCCCACCCAGCCGCCTGGCCCTGCTCTCTGCTACTCAGCCTTGACCCGGGGGCCAAAGGGCTTGAGCTCAAGGTCTCACTCTGCCACAGGCTTTTGGGGTGATGTTGGCCAAGTCCTTTGCCCTTCCTGGGCCTCCATTTGCCCAAATGAACAGTAAGCGGCGGGGGAGGGGCCCCTTCCAGCCTGGAGAGTTGATAGGTGAGGGCCCCCTCTCCTGTGCCGGGTGCCCTGCCCCAGCTCACGGCCGGCTCTGCTGCAGGACAGCTGGCAGTGGCCCGGCTCCCCCCCAGGGGGCTCCCGCCACAGCCCGGGCCCCGGCCTCGGCCCTGAGGAGCAGGGGGACCCCAGGCCGGGCGTCCAGGGCTACTCGGTGCTCAGCAGCCTGGTGGGGCCTGCCTGCATCTTCCTGCGGCCCAGCATCGCGGCCACCCAGCTCGTATGTACGGCCGCCCGGCTGCCCGCCCTCCCGCCAGCTGGCCTGCAGCCCTTGCTCCCTCGCCTCGCCTCCCCCCGAGTAGTGGGGAGAGGACCGAGTGGGGAGGCCGGAGCAGAGGCGCACGGACCCAGGGGGCTGGGGGAGCAGAGAGAGAAATGTCAGAGACAGCCACCCAGGGGATGGGCAGGGAGGTGGCAGGGCCCCTAGCAGACGGACAGAGACATTGAGGCCCCCACACCTGGGACCTGCCCATCTCTGGCAAATGGGGCCCCGCGCACTGGAAGAGGGTGGCAGGGGGTGGGGAGGCCCCGGGAGAGGCCTGTCGGGCAGCAGGGAAGAGGGGAACCCAAGACCCCCAGGACCCCAGCGGAGCGGGTGGAACTGGGTCTGAGCAGTGTCACACATGAGCCTGCCCATGCGTGTTGTGGGGGGCTAAGTGGGGAGCCCCGAAGAACAAAAAACAAGGGGTCCAGGGAATTCCTAACCCTCTGTGCCCCCTCAGGACCGGGAGCTGCGGCCGGAGGAGATAGAAGGTAAAGGGTTTGGGGAAGAAGCAGAGTTTGGGGGAGGGGGTGGGCGTGGGGGTGCACACACAGGGGCGGGGTGTCGGGGGGGGAGCCCAGCAGTCTCTGGGAGGACGGACCCAGAAGCAGGAAGGAGGCTGCTGGGGGCCTGTGCAGGGAGATGGGGGACAAGATGGAGCAGGGACAGGTTGGCAGAACCCCAGCTGCCACTGCCTGGTCTGGTGGCCGGGTGTGCCGCCGGCCCCTCTTGTGTCTGCTCACTCGGGGCACACTCCCTGGGCGCCCGTGGTGTGCCTGGCCCGGTGCTGAGCACTGGGGGCAGGGCACACCGGACAGAGAGGGCCTGTGTCCTCTGCAGACCAGCGTCAAGGAGTCAGCGAGCACCCGTGGTGCTCAGTGCTTTCAGCGTGGTGCAAATGGGCTGCAGGAGTCAGAATTGGAGGGAAGGTGTCCCTGAGTCCCCTTGTCCCGTAAGGACGGTGGAGGAGGGGAGAGTGTTCAGAACTCAAGCTCCGTGAGGTCAGGAATTTCCTTCCTCCCTCCCTCCCTTCTTTCCTCCCTCCCTTCCTTTTTCTTTCTTCATGGTCACATCCCCACTACCTAGAGCAGAGCCTGGCACACACTAGATGCTCCTCCAGTATCTGCTGAGAGAATGAACTTTAGGCATAGCATGTGCAAAGGCCCTGTGGCTGCAAAGATGTTTAGAAGGGGGGAATGCTTGGACCAAGAAGAGAAGGGTGAGTTGACCGAAACTGGGAAACATAGGGGAAAAAAGCGGACCCTGTCCCGTCTGGCAGAGCTGCAGGTCGCCTTTCAAGAGTTTGACCGAGACCAGGACGGCTACATCGGCTGCCGGGAGCTGGGCGCCTGCATGCGGACGCTGGGCTACATGCCCACGGAGATGGAGCTCATTGAGATTTCCCAGCAAATCAGTATGTGCCTCTGAACCCATTCCCTCCCCCCCAACCCCAGTTCTCTAGAGACCAGGGCAGGGCGGCTGAGTGAGCAGCCCCAGGCACAGGGGTGCCGGTACTGGGTGCCCCCGGAGCCCAGACCTGGGTGGTCCTCCAGCCAGGACTCCGCCTCCAGAGAACCTCACCGTCCCCTACGGGGTGGGCAGGGCAAGGACCACTCTTCCCAACTGCGGGATGAGGAAACTGAGTATCTGAAAGGTTAAGTGACGTGCCTAAGGTCACACAGCCAGGTCTTTGGAGCCAGGACTTAACCCCCCTCCCCAAACTCTTCAGGAAAATTAAGGAAATTCATAAAGAACTACAGATGACCCAGCCTGTGGGGCCCGGAGGGAAGGGAGGGCCGAGGGCTGGGCAGGGGTCTCTGATGCCCCCCCGGGGTCCCTGATGAGCGTGGCCCCCAGGTGGCGGGAAGGTGGACTTCGAGGACTTTGTGGAGCTGATGGGCCCCAAGCTGCTGGCCGAGACAGCGGACATGATCGGAGTGCGGGAGCTGCGGGACGCCTTCCGAGAGGTGCGGCCCCCTGGGGCGGAGGGCTGGTGGGGCCGGCTCGTCTGCTGTGAGTGAGTGAGTGAGTGAGTGAGGGGCTGCGTGGATGAGTGTGCTGTCCTTGGAGCCCCAACACCGTGGTGCCCGACGCTGCCACAGTTCGACACCAACGGCGACGGCTGCATCAGCCTGGGGGAGCTCCGAGCGGCCCTCAAGGTCCTGCTGGGGGAGCGCCTCACCCAGCGGGAGGTGGACGAGATCCTTCACGACATCGACCTCAATGGGGACGGCCTGATCGACTTTGAAGGTACCGGCTGACAGCACACACCCTGGAAGGGTTTTGAACAGATAAAAGCAGCGTCACGGCTGCACGCCAGGCCCTGCGGTCCGCCCACCCCAGCCCCTCCCAGTAAATCAGCATGGAGCCCACGTGAGAGGGACTGTTGTCATTCTCCCCCGCCACGAGCAGGAGAAGGGAGCCCGCTCTTAGGAACTGGGGGTGCCCCACGAAAGGAGGTGCCTGGAGCCCGGACCTGAGTGCAGGCGCCTGACCAGAGCCCGGCTCCCACGGAGGGGCAGCAAGGGCTGGACCCGCATAGGGAGCCAAGGACAATCAGGATGTAGAAATTCTCCAGAATAGGCCCCCCAATTTTTCCTGAGCTTCCTAGTGGCCAAAGCAAGGAGGAAAATAGGTTCCAAGATGTTCTCTGTCCATAAGGCGAAGCCCCTCTCCTTAGCCTGGAGACCCGCTGCCGCGCAGGTCCAGGAGACCCCCTGCCGCGCAGGTCCAGGAGACCCCCTCGCGGGCCCTGCCGCGGACAGCACTCCCTCACATCTCGAGACCAGCGCGTTGGCGTCATCCGGAGAGCAGACCCGGAACCCTGGCTTTGTCTTGGCAGAGTTTGTGCGAATGATGTCTCGCTGAGCCTGCACAGAAGCTGGAGGCGGCGGAGGGGCCTCGGGACGACAGCCACTGCTCCCAGTGGGCCCTGCAAGCCCACCGCCTCCCGCTGGGACCCTCCGCCTCTCTTCCCTGCCCCGCCCCCCACCTGTGTGAGATGCCCTTGCCTGCCCTCCCCCCACCCTCCTCCTCCACCAAGCCCCCCCACCCACCCACCCACCTCTTCCTCTGACAATAAAGTACCTTCAGACCCGGGGACACGGCTTTCACCTCTCATTCCCTCGTCCTGGAGGACCCACCATTTGGCCCCCAAAAGTTCAGTCCTGAGCCACGGGCCCCTGCACTGTGAGCTCTGGGTGGGCAGAGGCCCTCCCTGGAGCCTGGGCGCAGTCCGCAGCAAGTGCCGGGAAAGGTCCCTGAACAGGTGAACCCAAGCTGCTCCTCCCAGGGGTGTGTGTCGGCCGCTCACCCCGGGCAAGGCCCCTGCCAGACCCGCCATCTCTCCGGAGGGCCGAGCGGATGCGCGAGGGTTTCCCCAAGACCCATCTCACTCGCCCTCCGAGGGCAGCTGCTGAGAGGCCTTGGAGAAAGAACTTACGTTCTTCCCAGCTTTAATTCTCCGCTGGGAGGAGTGGCTCCGCTGTCAGGCGCTGACCGTGCGTCCCCTCAGCACACACCTCCCTCCGCTTCTGGGCTGCGGCCTCGCTTTCCCCGGGGCGGGGGCCCTAGCCGCGGAGCCAGCCTGGCGGGCGCTAGGACCTGCGCGGTTCTGCCGGCTCGAGCTCCGCCCCTGGGTGGTCTTTGCCTCCAGCTCCCCTCACCTTCGCCGCTGGGCTTTCTCGCCTCTCTCTGTCCCCCTTGCGGCCCTAACTCCATCTCACCGTCTGCCTCCTGGGTCACCTGAGTGACTCGTCTGCTCGCTCCAACCCAGCCCTGGTCTTCATAGCCCCATGTCCAGATGGAGGGAACCCAGAGGCCCGAGCTGAGTGATGGGCTGCAAATCACACGGCCCCACCCTCTCCTCTCCAGTCCATGGGGCACGTGCTGCGGGATTGTCGTTCCTACAATATCGCGTGTACTTGGTGACACTCCCGTTCAGGAGCTGGCCGGCCATGATCCCCTGTGATCCTCAGGCTGACCCAGACCCTTTGCCTGGCACCTCTCTGGGGGGGACCTGGGAGGAGCACAGTCGCGTGCAATCAGGGTGAGGTGGAGGCGGGACTTGCCCTGAGGCCTGGGGACTCGACCATCACAGTGTCCACAAGAGAGGATGCCTCGGGGTCAGAGCGGACCCAGCGAGGGCCTCAGCCTCTTCTGGCTACAGGGGAGGCCTGGACTGCAGGGCGCAGCCCGCCTGGGAGGCAAGATGAGCCTTGACCTCGAGGTCGGGAAGGGGTGAGAGCTTCCAGCCCCCGTGCTTGGCCCTCTCTTCGCTGCTGCCAACAGGATGGCCTTGGGACAGAGCGGGCAGACACCCACCGGTGCCTTGCCCAGCCCGGAGCATGGACCCGAGGTGCCAGGGCTGGCTACAGTAGCTTCAGCACCACCCTCCTGGAAGATCCCAATTAATCCTTAATCCTCAATTAGGTGATCTCTCCTGCCAGCCGGCCTGGCAGGCCTGGGGATGAGGAGGCGTCGCCCCAGGCCAGCAGCTTCCCTGGGAGCCCTGGGCCCCACCCCTTCCCACCCCTCTCCAGCAGCTGGCCCAGATGGCATTGCTGCTTGAGATATCTGCTCTCCCTGCGGGGACTGGAGGGGGTGGTACCTGCCGGGGGAAGACCAGAGCCCTGCTCAGGGCTGGCCTCCCACCGCCCTCTGGCTCCCAGCCGGGCAGTTGCTGAGTCGGACCTCATTGTCTGCAGTGGGTCTGCCGGCCCCAGAAGTGCCCACAGCTCTGCCAGGCCTCACATGCGCCCTCTCACCCCCAGGAGGCGCTAGCCCAGCAGGTCTCCACGGATAACAGCCAGAGTGGGAAGCAGGGCCAGGCGGCAGCAGCAGCAGCAGGCACAGCCTGCCCTGGGGCCAGAAGAGGAGTCAGAGCGGGCCAGGGCCGCGAGATCCTCTGATGGTCTGCGAGAAACCGTACATTTAGATTTTTACACTGTTTTATTTTTAGTGCATTTTTTCTTTTTAAATATATTTTATTGCTTATGCTATTTCAGTTGTCCCATTTTCCCCCTTTTATTCCCCTCCGCCCTGTGCACCCCCTCCCACCTGCATTCCCCCGCTTTAGTTTGTGTCCATGGGTTGTGCATATAAGTTCTTTGGCTTCTCCGTTTACCATACTATTCTTACCCTCCCCTGTCTATTTTCTACCTACCATTCATGCTACATATTCCCGGTAACTTTCCCCCCATTTTCCTCCCCTTCCCGCTGATAACCCTCCATGTGATCTCCATTCCTGTGGTTCTGTTCCTGTTCTAGTTGTTTGCTTAGTTTGTTTTTGTTTTGGGGTTCAGTTGTTAATAACTGTTTGTTGTCATTTTACTGTTCAGATTTTTCATCTGTTTCTTAGATAAGTCCCTTTAATATTTCATATAATAAGGGGTTGGTGATGATGAAGTCTTTTAACCTGACCTTATCTGGGAAGCACTTTATCTGCCCTTCCATTCTGAATGATAGCTTTGCTGGATAGAGTCATCTGGGATGTAGGCCCTTGCCTTTCATGACTTGGAATACTTCTTTCCAGCCCCTTCTTGCCTGCAGGGTTTCTTTTGCGAAATCAGCTGATGGCCTTATGGGAACTCCTTTGTAGGTAACTCACTCCTTTTCTCTTGCTGCTTTTAAGATTCTCTCCTTCTCTTTAATCTTGGGTAATGTAATTACAATGTGCCTTCGTGTGTGCTTCCTTGGGTCCAACTTCTTTGGGACTCTCTGAGCTTCCTGGACTTCCTGGAAGTCTATTTCCTTTGCCAGATTGGGGAAGTTCTCCATTTTTTTTCCAAATACATTTTCAATGTCTTGGTCTTCCTCTTTTCCTTCTGGCACCCCATGATTCTGATATTGGATCATTTAGAGTTGTCCTGGAGGTTCCTAAGCCTCTCCTCATTTTTCTGAATTCTTGTTTCTTCATTCTGTTCTGGTTGAATGCTTATTTCTTTCTTCTGGTCCACACTGTTGATTTGAGTCCCGGTTTCCTTCCCATCATTGTTGGTTCCCTGTACATTTTTCTTTATTTCACTTAGCATAACCTTCATTTTTTCATCTAATTTGGAATCACATTCAACCAATTCTATGAGCATCCTGATTACCAGTTTTCTGAACTGTGTTTCTGATAGGTTGGCTCTCTCTTCATTGCTTAGTTGTATTTTTTCTGGAGCTTTGATCTGTTCTTTCATTTGGGCCTTTTTTTTTTTTGTCTCGGCGTGCCTGTCATGTAGTAAGGGGCGGAGCCTTAGGTGACCACCAGGGCAGGGCAACCCATGTCTCTGCATTGTGACACTGTATGTGGGGGAGGATCCAAGAGGGAACAGTGCCACTTGCTCTGCTTTCTGCCGGCTTTCAGTCACTTCCCCCACTGCCCACTAGCAAACTGGGCCCTTCTGGTGCTGATTCCCAGGTGGGAGGGTTGTGAGAGTTCTAGGACCCTGTGGGTCTCTCCAATGAACTGTCCTGTGAGGCTGGGAGTTTCTCCCACTGCTGCCGCAACCCCAACAGGTTTTTACAGTCAGAGGTTTGAGGCTCTATTTCCCCGCACTGGGACCCTGGGTTGCATGGTCTGTCTCACTCCCCAGTTGTTCCTCCTGATTTGTCTGCACACGAATGTGGGACAGCCCAGTCCACCAGGTACCTCCTCGTCTCGAGTCCTCTCCACCCTTCCTACGGGTCTGGGTGAGTGTTTCTTCTTTAATTCCTTGGTTCTCGAACTTCCATACAGTTCATTTTTCTGTCAGTTCTCGTTGTTTTTTGCTTTCAAATTTGTTGTTGTCCTTCTTTTGGTTGTGCAAGGAGGCACAGTGTGTCTGCCTACACCTCCAACTTGGCCAGAAGTCTCACTAAATCTATTTTAAATAGTTTGAAAATAACATACATTCAGAAAGGTGTATAAATCTTGAGTAGAGCTCAATGATTTTTTACCTGTGTGTGCACCCAGGTAACTATCATGTGGGGGAGCTTTGTCCACAGAGCCCCCCATCAGCCACAGATGAGAGTAAGTCCACCAAGACATGATCTGCTTGGGGAGGAAAGGTGGCTGATCTCTCGAAGGAGAAGGACCAAGAGCCTTTTCCTCGGTGGCTTTTATTGTGTTCATTTACACAGGAATTCAGGTAAAACTCATTACTCATTGCCGGGAAGTAAGGATCAAATAACAAGGAACTCTGAGGGCCTATTTTGAGTCAGGGTCAGATAGCTAAAGAGCTGTAAAAACTTTAAGTAGCAAACTTACTTCTTCCTTGCACCCTTATCATTTAATTGAGAGTGTTCTAAACACAGCAGGTTTCACAGGATTTTACATACTGTTTCTTAGGCCTGATCACCCAGGGAACCCGCCCTTTCCAGCACAGGGCTGCACTACCCTCTCTCATTGTTATAGGCTTAGGTGGAGCAAGGGAAGTAAGGCAGCCAAGAGATTAGGAGATTTTCTTGCAGACAATGAGGACTCAGGCTATGTCAAAGCTGAGGGGCGAGGGTCCATCACCCCCTTTTGCTGTAGCCCCCAGAGTCCTTCCTTGGGGGCTACACATGATTGTGCCTGTCTTAGATCGTTCCCCCCTTGGGGAATCTTACCCGTCATTGGCTAACAGACCAAGCATTGGGAACCAGGCAGGGTGAAGTAAAAGGAGCAGCAGCAGCACTCCTGCCAGGGAGATAAGCTTTTGTCTCCTTGGTGGCTTATGGTTCAAGGTCATTCCCTCAGCCTTAGCCTTGGCGGGGGTGGGGGGGTGGTTACAGCTTCTGATACCAGGCAGGGCGGTTCCCAACACTATCACCCAGATCAGGATACTGCGTCCACTTATTTTAGGACAGTTCTAGGTTTACAGAATTCTTTTGAGGGTTTACAGTGAGTTCCCATATACCCCACACCCCACTTTTCCCATGTGTTAGGCCAGGTTCTCCAGAGAAATAGCACCAATAGGAGAGGTGTATGCATGTGTCAAGATACCTGTTATGAGTTACTGGCTC